ACCCCAAAAGAAAGGACGTATTATTGGCTTCCCCTAATTTTTTCCCCACGCCACGCTACTGCTTTAACAATGTACATTTCGCAGCGCTTTGATTTTGATTATATCACACTACTAGCACTGATTTGTTAACATCTTCTATCGACAGCTACCGAACGGACTTGTGGTGAGTTCAATAATTCATTTCATGCCTCTTACAAACGTACCTACACACTATAGGATAAAATAAAACAGACTAATTAAGGTATAACTTCTTAATTCCTCAGGATCCTATTTCATATCGCACAAATGATTTATTACATTTGTATTGTTTGCAGCTGACTTAAATGCATGTTTAACTTTGCCAGCAAACTGAGCTTTTCAGTCAAACTTAACTTCAGATGCTGTCTTCGAACAAATGATACAAAAATACATTGCTTAAGTCATCACATTTTTCACATTATGATTTAAGGTTGAGCGTTCCTGCTGAGGGGTTCTGTGTAAAATACGTGGGAATTGTTAAAATCAGGCAACATAATCAAAATAATGAGACTGAAAGGTGCCTTGGACAGCCTGCGTTTTAACACAGTAAGCAATATGCTGTATAATGCAGAATCAGCGATTTCACTGCAGTTGCCTCTTTTTTACAGCTAATATATATTGAAGTAAGTCTGGACTCAATTCCTTATTGAAGCCACATTTTTTTTTGGTTGAATTAGTAGCTTGCATTTGACCACATGTAATGACTCATTGTACAAATCGCGCATTAAAGCTTCTTATAATAAGTTACAGAGATCAAAGTCATTTTCTATAATAGTATTTTGTTTTTATTTAACATCTTATTAATGATCAATTAACAACTGTTTTTCAATTTCAAAATGATGTTAAAATTGTGAGATCATTGGTCCCTCTATTATACATATGTTATATGTTCACATGTTATGGAGGCGACTGTGGGGGGATTCCCAGAATGAGACAATATAGAGAGTCTGGCCGGTGGTACGAAAAAGAGAGACGGATCACCACATGACGCCCCTAACCCTACACTCCCCCCCCCCTCCACCACACACACACACTCTCTCTCTCTTTCTCAAAACCAGCTGGAGAACAATGGGGAACTCCCGACCAAAAAACCCATAGAATATCAAACAAATAACCAAACACACCACACGACAGCCAAACGTTTACTGTGGAAATACTCTGCTGAGCAGTTAGTGTATATGAATGAAATCTGAGACTCCCTCCTTGCATTCCCATTTTCACTTTTAGGTAAAAGGGTGTTTTTTGTTTGCTTTGTCAGCCGTTTGGCATGTTGGAAAAGATCCCGGGATGAAGGTCTGTGATGAGAACTGCTGCCAGATTGCCAGCTTATGTGGTCTCAGGTTATTCGTTCTCATTATCTGCCTGAAAATCAAAGTGCTGGTTAAACCGGTTCCAGTTTTGCTTTGTGTTTGACCCATTTTACAGTACCGTATGTCCTGCAATCCAGCATGCCCAAACATACCACCAAGCAACCGTCAAAAACTCTGTTTGCCTTTTTATTTTCTGCCAACACTGTCAGAGGTTGTCTTACCTCGCGGGTCCGCAGTTGGAAATTCTTTCCTTCATGGTAACAGTTGTAGGTCCTAAGCAGTGACAATATGTGCGACCTGGAAATTAACATAAGACCACAAAGGGGTTATTGATTGAAAATATTCAAGTCATACCATGTAAACTGCAAACACTTATTTTCCAAATGTTCCCTGATGCTTTTGAAAATGAAAAAGAGGACAGACAATCACACATAATATGCACAAAAAACAATAAGCAATAAAAAAAATTAAAAAAATTAGACAAATAAAATCATCAGGAATTAACTTCAGCACCCCGTCCTATGTTGATTTCTCTGCAATCCATATGTCCTAAAATGATTCACAAAACAAATAAAAATAACTAAAAGCCTTCACACAATGCGGGCAGTGGTGATATTTTGATCACCCTTATGGTCAAACTGTCTTTTAGTCATTACATTGCAGCAGGTGGAGTAAAGGGACTTACTTTGGTATCAGTTTCTCTTCACTGAGCTTCACGTAGGTCTGACGCTCAACCATTGTGACCAGAGTCCAGCTGTGGCAGAACAAGAGAAAAAAATGAACAATGACCTGATTTACATCACATATTAATAGGAATAACTCCTATACGTTAATTAGATGTAATACAATGATTTGTGCATTTATCATAAGAATTATCATTCAACTATCCTTTTATTACTCTAATCAGACAGCGATTAATGATTGTTTAGTTTATTGTGTAGTTTTGATCCATATCAAGGGTTGGAAGTTTTTAGGCACAAGTAGCTCTGGAGGTGAAATGAGGCTCATGCTGTTAAAAGAAATCACATGGTGCTGTTGACACAAAGCCAACAGAGTAACACGTTGTGGCAAAGCTCATCAAAGTCTGTAAAACATGGTGACTTCTTTCTCATTTTAAGGTAACTCCTACTAATGTGGTTAGGTTCTTAAACAGTTAACATTATGAGGAAGCACTACTCATTTGTGGCAAGGTTGAAAAATAAATTAAATAAAAGTCTGCAACAAAAGGGTTTTTTCAATAAATAGGAAGCACAGTAAATACACAAGTATATATACGCATATATTAATCACTGTGTCCTTCAGGAGTTCAAGCTTTTTCGGACAAGACAGAGGAATGTGTCCCTGATCCCTGCATCCTAATTCCTGTGTCCTGCTATCTCATGCCGTGGGGAATTTTTCATGGTTTGGAAAGCCCAGTTCTGAGTATGTGGGGGGAGGAGCAAGGGTATAAAAGAGCCACATGTGGCTAAGGGGGATCAGTGCAGCACTCGTATCCAGCATGAAGCTTTATCTTCCTTCAGCCTGTCAGCTTGCCTTCCTGAGCCTCTGCTGTGTACTGATCACAGGTAAGAACCATTTATGCTTATATTAGTGTATTCTCTCATATTATCTGGATACAGTGAACGTTAAGAGTGTTGCTTTATTTGGACAAATCTGTCTGAGCATGAACTTAATCCCTGCTCATGTTGCACTGCTTGGAGTTAACCTATAATCCTGTTACTGTGTCTGTGCAGTGAGAGAGTCAGACAGCACGTATGTCCCGGGCAGATGTATGTGTCCGCAGGCCCAACCAGGTGTCAGAGGGAAACTGAAAGAACTCACAGTTTACGAGAAAAGCCCCAGCTGCGACAAAGTCACAGTAATGTGAGTATGCCAGATCCTGCAGAGACACAGATTCATGGACACAGATGATTGAATAAGAGGAGTTAATGTGTTGGTTTACATGTGTTTTACAGAGTGGTCGTGAAGAGTAACAATCGAGCAGTGTGTTTGAGTCCAGTATCACCGATGGGCAAACAGCTGATTCGCTGCTGGAATAGGTGAGAGGCTTTATCAGTGAAACCTAACTTTTAGTAAATAGGACACACTCACTACTATGGGTTCTGAAAACATGGCCTCAATCATTGTTTTAGAAATTGATACTACAGCTTTGTCAACCCTCAGCCAAGAGTAACATGTCATATTTCAACTGAGTTTCATTTACACAGAACAACACCATTATACAATATATATATTACACACCAGATGGAGGACATTTAAGCTGTGCATCCCAACTGGCTGTAAAGGGGTTCCACCCGTCTTCAGGCCAACAGTATCTTATTTGTTGCCAATCCGGTTCTTGTCGTAATGCGGCACCCATTCAAGGAGTTTGTTAATCTTTCCTACACATGTTTTGCAACTTTAGACATAAAAGTTAGTGCCTTTTAAAACATTTTCTATAAAAAACAGATTTACTTAATTTTTTCCCTTTTCTAGAGTTAATAATATCCTTTTATAGAAGCTTATATCATTTCATAATTAACATTTGTTGTGTTTAGTTTATTGTGTAGTTTAGATCCATATCAAGGGTTGGAAGTTTGTTGGCAAAAGTAGCTCTAGAGGTGAAATGAGGCACATGCAGTTAAAAGAAATCACATGGTGCTGTTGACACAAAGCCAACAGAGTAACATGTTGTGGCAGAGCTCATCTAAGTCTGTAAAACACGGTGTCTTCTTTCTCATTTTAAGGTAACTCCTACTAATGTGGTTAGGTTCTTAAACAGTTAACATAATTAATTAACATTATATCGAAAGATTGAAATGTCCTATACAGGAGTGTCATGTACAGCCCTTCCTCCACGCTAAAGTTAGTTCTCCTGTGTGTCTTTTCTAGGAGTCATAAGCTGGGTCGTGATGTGAGGCTGTGCCTGAAGAGGAGGAGGAGGAGGGGGGGGAGAGGAGGTCAGCCACAGCGACAGAGGAGAAGCACCCAGAGCAGGAACGCCTCATCCTCAATCCCCCGATAGTCAATCAGCCTTACAAGTTGTCCAAAGTTACTGAGCGGAAAGATACGTCTAAATGCTGTTTCTTGCCACACGGTTGACTCCAGGTCACAAGGCCGTTAAAAAACCACAGCACGCAATCACTTTTCTTTATAAAAGTCACGCAGCTAAGACACCGAGCTCCCCTAAACTGTTGTCCGAGCTATAAATCAAACTCTCTTTGTATGCTAGCCATCGGGGGCTTTTTTCTGTGGAATGGTGTCACTTTAAAAACTGAGCCCTGGAGGCTTGTCATAAATGTTAACAGTTTTAGCTTGAAAATGCTGTTAACATATCGCTATGCAGTTCTGTGTATGCAGCTGGAAAAAACTAACTGAGAAGTTTTTGTTGGTTATTTATTTTTATATGAATAAGATAATTGTTTTAAATTGTGTTTTTTTAAATAAATATATCAGAATAACAGTTTGGTCTTGTTGTGGTATTTTCTTTTTAAAACTCAATGATGGGAAAGAGGATTACTTCCTTGCCAGGATATGAGAGGTCATCCAACCCTTAGCCACAGCTTTAGTTAATAAACCACAGGATGTGAGTCAGCAGCCGGCACAACACAAACATCTCACTTTAAACATCTGCAGACATCTGAAGGGTATACCAGGAGCTTAAATGTAAATGCAGTTATCTCTTTCTATGGCACTGTACAGTAGTGATTGCAAATAAGACATTTGCTGGAGGTGTTTTGAAATACAATACACCATCAATTGTGCAGTTTAATACTTTCACAGTCTAATATAGGTGTTGCACAACTAGTTGGGGTGAGGAGTGGTGAGATTTTTTTATTATGGCTTATAAACATGCTTTATATCAGCTCTCGGATTTATTGTAGATCATGTGATATGATAGACACAAAACACCCACACACACAAACAAATAATATTTTCACCTGCTTTTGCAATGCGCCCACATCATTTGGGGTAGTGGAAAGTTAAATACTAAGGTGTGTACAAACCTGTTCTTTTTCTTAGCTAAAACACCTATTGGCATTGTTATGAGCTCTTTCAACATGATATGAGTTGTTAGCTATTAACTGATGCTTGACTACACAAGGTGGTAAAATGGAAAGTGAAAGTAAATTGCTCAACAAGGCGGCCTTTGTCCCTTGTCTGGCTGAGTAATTTAGGGGATTTTTCATATTAAGTATGATAAACTATGCAAGCAGTTAGAAGAGTTTGTAATAACATTTAGTGATCCGTGAAAGTTAGAAATGATACTGATTGAGAGGATCTGTTTACAGATGGCAAGATAACAGTCTTGTTACTGGATGGCATGTGGCCAACATGCAAATCCAAAGAGAAGTACTTTACAATGCATACAGGATTTCTTTTTTTCCATTCATTCATTTGATAGCTGTAATTACTTAATTGACTGAGATGTTGACTCATCAAATCTAGACCACTGATCCGTTCATTTGCATTTGCTGCATAGTACCATATTAAACCTTCAACAGCCAATGAATAATGAACTAACCTTTATATCAGCCAAATACAACACTTATTCTACAACAATGAGAAGAGTTAGGAGCTAAGAAAGAGTTTTAACCAAATTCCTTAACTCCTTCACTTTAGATTTGTATTTTCTGATACACGCCACACACAACTTCCCGTAACTGAAAGGCAAGCGCAAAATTGAAAGTACAAACCATTTAATATGCTGCTGGAAATTATTAATTTCAAACTTTTATGGTAGTGTGATTTTATCTTATCACAGTGTATTGGTGTTGTAATAAATACATGTGGTATATGAAGTAAAAGTGAAATGCCTCCAAGGTAACATGATTTTGAATGTTTGTATTTACATTTTAATTCTCAGCTTTGGTCTAACGACTGTGCGTTTTATCTTGACGGAATTATTGAAAATTGGAAAGATTCTGATTTCTATAAAAGTAGAGGGAAATAAAATGTCATATCTAAAAAATCAAAATGTATCTTCTATCGTTTTTAACAGGTTGCCATGAACTGACAAAAACAGTTTACATTTAAAAACAGTCTCATGCATGAAGGTTCCTTGGACTCAAAACTGTTTTTTGAATAAATGCACAGCATCTAAGATACCTAGCACTGTACCAACACAAGTGATGTTGGTGCTATGAGGCCATCTAGTGTCTAAAGCTTCAAGTACACTGAACTTCATCCTGATTTAGAACATATGTGGCAGCATTGCTCCATCTCGCTTAGTGATGGAAGAGACACTGTTTAGTTTAACTTCAACATTGACACCACCTGCAGGAAATTAGCTGAAGTGGACAGTTGGTTTCAAATGTGTTGACTGTATTTAAAGGGCCATTGACTGGCTTTTCTTTCTGAGAAGATCCATTGAGTTGCAGACCATGATTTGGTAACAACATAAAGAAGAGATGTTAATCAGTTAAAGTATTGATGTGTGACTTTGATATGCTTCATTCCCAACTATGACTTACACATTCATAATAAATGTAACCTGATTGATTGAACAATCAAAAAAATCATTGAATTGATATGTTAGTTACCATTCTAGATGTTTCTAAATAATTAGCTGATGTACACACGAAGGAGTCTTTTGCATTTAGTGCAGCTGAAACAGAAGTTTCTTAGACAAAAATGGAAGAGAAAAAATGCTTGCATGAGCAGCAATCGTCACCACAAAACCCAGGAAACAGACAGTACTGTCTGTATGGGAAGTGATCTCTGGGAGAGGAGGTGCAGATTCAGCTAAACACCCTGCACTCTTTTACTCTGTCACAATACTTCTCTTTTTATTTTCAGGCTGCTTTTGATTCAAATCATATTAATGGACATATCTAAAAGTAGCCTGGTTATGTTAATTACTGAGCAAAGGCAGCCCTCCTCACCCCCTTTAATAACCTTTGCCCTCCTCCACTCTCATCCCCTGAATCTGCTGACAAAGTAGGTGCATAATGAGATGGTCAGTCTATATCTTATACATATTTATACACAATAATGGGTTTTTAAATATTCCATTACTTTAAGGATTCCAGTCTGTCACCATTATTATGAATTATTCAGCCAGTGCACATGGCTGCACAGGAGATGGACCAAGATTAAGAGCAGTGGAAGGAAAACACATTATTTTGTGATGCTCAGATTTTGGTGAATTTATAATCCCTTTCTTCTCCTCTTCTTTTGTGTGCTAAATTACGCATTCTTCCCTCGGTGGACAAAGGAGCTTCAGTGCAGGTCCGCTAATTGGTTTGATCATCGCGATATTCGTATCCAATTATCGCACATATGGCAGCTGTGTCCGGAGACAGCTCCAAAAGACGCATACACAAAAATCATTTCCACAAACGTCTAAATGTAAAGACAAACACAGCTGTGGAGAGAAAATAGAAAAACACTGGCTGAAGATGTATCTATTTCTATTGCAGCTATTACTGCAAATAAACGTGTAGTTTCGTTGATACAGATAAAGGCTGATGCATTTTAAAGTTGTTCATGTCTCTACTGCTTTGATATCATAAACTGCATAAACTGAAAAGTACACCGTTAGTAACCTGCATCCAACTTCAGGGCATCTCTTGTCTTCATGGCTTCATGTTTCAGGGTTAAGGCGCATTAACGTAGCCTAAGTTATATCCCCACATAATCTTTTTGTGTAAAAATATCCAGCAGTTGAGATCAGTATGGTTCCTTACCATAGAAGACAGCGTCCTCCTCTTCCGTATATCCACCAGCGATGTATCCCGTGTAACGTTGGTTATCAGTCTTCATGCCTTCTGGTCGTGCGGCATCCAGAGCGAAAAGATCAAACTGACAACACAATTGTCCAATAGAAAAATGGCTCTCATAAAGCTCAGCCAATCAGCGTTGAGCTTGGGCGGGGCTAACAGAGTCAGGGTCGCTTATCTCCCTTCAAGGTGCCTCTGAGACTTTACCTCAACCTCATCAGCCCCAACCATCAGATTAAATATGGTTTATTTACACTTGCGTATACTTTACTAGAAAACTCAGGTTAGAGGTTACATAAAATGTGCTTTTCTTTGCAAAAAGACACATACAGCTTGATATTTTGAATATAGCATTTCCTTATTATGGTCACTGTTGACAGTATAGCAAGCGTTTTGAGTAAATATCCACCTCTAGTGTTTGGAAAAATTACTTTTTTAATTAAATGTAAAGGTTATTTACTTGGATAGAGGCGAATGATTGATCTTGCATTATTTTCTTAATATTTTTTTTCATTTAGCATCTTTACCTTTTCTGTCTTGTAAATATATATTATGTGAATGTTGTCTGACAGAATTAAATAAAAGGCATTACATTACCAAACAATATAAAATAACCAGTTTTCTTCATTCTATTTTCTGCCTGTACATTAGCAGTGATGAGGGCATTTTATTCTTTCAGCCCAGCTGCTATAGCACCTATCCTGTTTCCCTCAGAAAAAGGAAGAAGTCCCTGTGACCTGTAAAGATTGGTTTTCCCCATCCTGTTATTGAGCCTGGATTTACCATCTAGGAAACTATAGTAGGGTGGAAACAAACACTGTAGGAAGTCTCTCTCTCTCCCTGTCTGAATAGGCTTTATGATTTGACATGTACAGAGGAAGTAAATTGTTCCAGCAGCGTAATAACTTCCCCTCTGAAAACAGATCATTCTAAAGGATATGACAAAGTCGGTGGAAGCAGACTGGAAATACTGACGCTCTTGTGTTCTCCTTTAGTTTTCTAGTTGACCAGAGACAGAGAGCGTTGTGAAGATTACCCTGATTTTCGGCCTCAGCAAACTCTAGACAAAGACTCTCTGTTCTCACCATAAAACACCAGACTATCTCATCCCTCCTGACTGATTCAAATGTCACGGCTTTGATATAGCCTATTGTAGAAAACACATGTGTAAAATGCTGAAAGAATGTTTGCCACGGTGTAGCTGCTGGGGATGTTGCCTGCTTCAAAAACGGAGAATATAGTTGTTTAACGGACAGGCTATTTATGTGTCAGTGTATTTTTCACGCGCTTGCTGTCTGACCCCTGTTCTCAGTGAGGTGCTTTATGATGCTCTTTGCTTTTATTGATTCTCTCTTTAGTTTTGATGTTGCAGAGAGATTACCTCTTAAGGCTACATACAGAAATATATATACAGTTCAGTGAACAAAGAAGAGAGGATTACCCGTGTACATGTGTGTGTGTGTGTGTGTGTGTGTGTGTGTGTGTGTGTGTGTGTGTGTGTGTGTGTTGACAGAACGAAACAGTATTGATTTATGTCCTGAAAAATAGGGGAAAGTCTGTATGGAGAATTGTATCCTTTGTTGCATGATAAAAACTAAAGACAAACAAATGAAATCTTGACACATGTTTTTGATTTATAGAGCTTGGGTTGGATTCACACATCCTTTTAATAATATCAATGCTATTGTGACATGTAATTCATGCATGAATAATACTACGCTTGGTGTGTTATGTTTTGGTGAAACGTAGGCTTATGGTGGCGCTCTGGTGGGTGATCTGATGGTTTTCTCATCACCATAATAACGTGTGCACTCCTCCCAGAGCTCCGTCTCCATGGTCACCGCTTGCACATAACAAACACACAATAAGGAGTCTTGAATGTGACTAACACATGCACCTGCACTAGCTCTAATTCCTGCTACTCCCAGTCACATTCAAACACATTTTGTTTGAATGAATGAAACAGTTGATCTAATTTATTACCTCATGAATAATGCATGCCGCAGTAACTGGATTGGATTGCATTAACGTTTGCTCTTCAATCAATCCTGGCCTTGCAAAAATCTGAATAAAAGCCACCCACACTTGTATGTACAATTGTTTCTTTTCCTTCAGTGTTTACGTTTCAAGATACAATTATTTTTCAAAAATGCTTACAATATATTTTTTTGTAAAGTAAGAAATATACAAATCAATTTAACATTTAATAAAAAATCTAATAATCGTATATCTTGAAAAAACAAAGAACATTATTACTGCACTCTTGCAATTACTCAAAGGTCATATTTTGCATGAGCAGATATTTTAAAATGTGTTTTTTAAAGCTAATTGTCTGCACAGTGTAGCACTAGCGAGTAGCATCCAGTCAGTATGAATACATTAAACATGCTTTCCTTTGTGTGATAGCAGTAAGGAGCTCCATCTGAGCGCAGAGGGATGTTCAGTCAGTAATCATAGGAGCAGTGTCTGAGGTGGTGTCTGGCTCTGGCTCACAGTATCCCTCCATCTCCTCCATCTCTCTCTCCACAGGCTCCTCCCTGCCTCTGAAGCTTATCAGTCTCCCCTCTTTCCACCACCTCCTCTCCCTGTCTGTGCCTTTAGGTGCTGCTGTCTGCTCCAGCTCCAGCATGGCCTGCACACTCTCTCCTCTTTCCCCCGGGCCGAGGCAGCGGTCTCTGGTTGCCAGAGCCGGTCCCTCCCTTCTCCTTCCTGTCACCACGTGGAAGAATGAGTCTGTGCTGTTCGAAGCTGCAGTTTCTGCCACACAGACAATGGTCGGGCCTTGGTCGCTGAGACTTCCATGTGGCCTCTTTGGAGGTTTGGGCTTTGTTTTCTTGCTTAGTATAAAGTTTAAAAGTGCTGTCACCAGAAGCATTATCCCTGCAATCACAAAATACATTCTCTTTCTTTCACAGAAGACATTTTACAGTAGGAAATATGCTTTTAGCTGTTACAGTTCACATTGTGCATGCTGGCTCACTGTCACAGTTTACTAGGACACTTGAAAAGAATAGAGTCATCGTAAATGTTATCATATACACCAGTGCTTTTCGTACTATGCAAGAGGTCAAAATGTATGTTGCTGAAAAAGCCTATCAAGACTTTATAAGTGCTGTGAAGAGAGTAAAGAGTATTGTAATAATCTGTGAATTTATCGTACTTGGAAATGTTATTTTACCTGGGATGATGGCATGCCATACCAACACTGGGTGCAAGAAGCAGACCACTGACATTATGGAGTAATAGAGGAACTTATGGAAACCTCCGACATGAGCCATCTTCCCCCACAACACAAACAGCTGCCAGTCTGGTGGACAGCTGTAAAATAAGATAGGAAGAAGCGGAGAACTGAGGCAGTAACAGGAATAAAAATTGTTTTATTATTTTGAAAGTAAAGACAGCTTAACATGTGCATGCTTATATAGCAGACATCACGACAGATTAGAAATATTGAGTATCTATCTTCAAATGTAGGTTTTAGGATTTGCAATGTTAATAGTTATCTGATGTGCTTGACTATTATTTATCCTAAAGTATCCATGCAAAGAAAAGAGGTTGGTTGAATGTTGTGTACTCACGGCAGACACATTACCAGAAGTGTATCCAGGAAATAGGCCAACTCAAACATCATGATGCCAACAGATGACACTCTGGGAGGAGAAATACAGTAAGATTAAACAAATGCAAAGATACAATAAGGAAACATGTTTAAAAAAAATGTAAACTAGATCTAATTCTGTCAATTTGCATATTTTATCTAAATATGTATTTTCTGGATAGCCAACAATGCAATGCGATGCTTCAAGTGAAAATATATCGTTTTCATGTGATGCCAAAAACTTGGCATAAGGATGTGTTTATTTTATTGTTTGTTGCTTCAGAATGCCCTGTTCTCTATTTTGTGTTTTAATAGTGTGATAACGATTTTATCCAGTGAACCAGAAAATGACCCCAGACCAACCGTCATCGTACACTGCACTCAGTCTCTGAAGACTTATCGCTGAGTTATGCGCTTCTGTGTGTGTTGTTACGGCTCTCATCTGCATTTCTGTGTTCTGACAGAATAAACAGTCATGCATTTCTGGTCTCCTTAGGGAGATGTTTTCCTTCGGCTCTGTGGGAGTCTGGCTGCAAGCCATTGAGATAATATGAAGAAGCACTAAAAGGACGGGTCCCCTATTTGCAATCTACATCGCTTCATCCCCCTGGCTCCTTCCAATATTCTCATTGCAAGTGTGTATACAGTATAAGTAATTATGACAGCAAGTAGAGTATTTTAATTGTTTTCTACAAGCCCTTAGGCCAAACATTATTTGGTATATTGAAATCCAAGTGGTGTATTTGTAACACAGGAATGACACCAGTTTAGTCTTAAGCAGCCTGGAGTCAGGTCATACGTTTACATTGATACAGTGTATTTAGAGATGGACTACAAAACCAAACACTTACAATAAATAGATGCCAAGGCTGTTGAATTCTCCTTGATGCAGAGTCTCCACTCCCACAGCACACAACACTGTGGAAGAGACAGGAAGATCATTTCCTCTTTTGTTATATTTAAAGAGTTACGGACCGGTTGAGCAGATTCTGTCCACCAGATGTCAGACTTAGTTCATGTTTTTGTCATTGAACGCAGGAAGGGTTGCAATAGCGGGTCAACTAGATCAAACTTGGGAATGTAACTCCTTAAACATGATTAAATACTGTTAATTAAACTTTGTGCTGTGCTGCCGTTACTGTTCTTTGAACATTTTATTTAGTTGTATCTTTATAATATTGCCCTGAAGTTATCCAACTTGAAGTTTGAACTCCAGGGGAGCAAATTGAATTGTTGTATACATGTTATATAAATACAATTAAAATGCATTGTTGTAATTGTTTCCATAGTGGTCACAACATGTTGGTCATACCTTACTCAAGCTAGTAATTACCATTTCAAGGCAGCAGGCTAGGTTTTTTTTATTAGAGTAGACAATTGAAACGACAGAATCATTGCATTTAAAAATGTTTCACAACTTATAGGTAAAGTAGTCATTAGACGTCATGGTATATTGATAGTCTTTTTACATTTTGGGCTTATGAGTAATACATTCATGTTTATTCTCAACTTTAATACTTTTTTTGTGTTTCTTCAAAAGCACAAACTTTGAGTAAAAAGTGATGCTGGGTTGATTTATTCCTCTGAAAGGTATATTTTGCTGCAGTAATTATGACAAGGAAGCTGAATTTCTCAGTCCTTCACCTGTGAGTGCTCTGCAGTGGGAGACGCCAAGATAAATTCTCCTGAACACATGAGTCATGACACACAATAGTAATTTAATGTTATTATTACTTCTGGTACTACTTCCTTCCTTATATTTTATAGTAACAGGAACATTTTTCATTTTTTGAGAGAAAAAGGGAAAAGAAAAGACAGGACGTTTACATACAGTGTGCAACATGACAGGATTAGGCAGCAGAACATGCATTAGTACAGTGTAAGAAGAGGTTTCCATGTGTGTATGGTATATATGAAGCTACCGCCAGCAAACAGTAATTTAGCTCAGCATTAAGACCGCAGAAAGCAAAATGCAACTACCGATACCTTGGAATTTCACTATGAATACATTTGAGTATTTATTGGTCTTGCAAAGCCATTTCCTGGCATATGATCATCAGCCATCAAGACGAGAAAAAGTCAAGCTCGCAACCCCCCCTCCAAAAATTAACACACCTTAGTATTTGATTATGTTTGCGTTTGTTATGATTAAATAAAAACAAGATAGAGTTTATCTTTTTTTAAATTGGTAAGTATTAGAGGTGCTCGTTGGCTGGTAGGTTAGTCATCTTCCCCCCCCTGAAGATTCACAAATCTGAGAGCTGATCACCAAAACACAGTTGAACTAATATGGTTTGATAAAAAATTAGATGACAACAAAGTCTTGAAAACTATAAAAGGAGAGCCTGTTTTGTTAATCAAGCTTTCCCCTGTGAGGTATAAAAGAGGTAAGCTTTCTTATGTGGTGATCGCCACTCACATGGTAACAATTTCTCCTGCTTACCAGAAATTCAGAGATATAATCGGTACTAGAGGGAAATCAGGGGAATGTAGCTAAATAGTTTTTGGTAGTTTTATAGAGTGAGAGAGAGATTAACGCTACATATAGACCAGCTGGGTATTAACATACTGTATATGCGCTCCAAGCACGTACGTCTGTCTACAGAACACACACAGGGGCAGACAGGCCGACACAGACATGTAGACACACAGACCCAGAGACAGAGGCACACATAGGCACCCCATAAACATAAACACACACACACAAACACACATAGAGACAATGCACAGAAAGCTCCTGTTGGTGTAAATATATTACAGCTTGTGATCACATAAACCCAGTAAAGCAGCTGGATACAGAGACTTGGTTTTGATGCGATGTGAGGCACATGTCTCTCAGTAAATGTTCAGTGTCTGCAGCTGTTGGAATTTAAGTGAAGGGGGTCCCATATTTTTTAAGGAGGTTGAAACCATAGAGCTATTTTCCCTGTGATGATTTAATGTGGCTTAGAGAGCTGTGTGCAATCAGTCCTTATGTGCCTGAAGAAAACACAGGAGGGATCATCATAGCAGGGTTATGGACGATCAAGTATTTTTATTTGCTCTATATGTCATCCAAGAGATGCTCTCTTGTTCTCTTAGAGGTCATGAGCTGAGACTGCCAAGGGCACACAGGGGGATAGGGACCTAAATATGCTTTGACTGTTATGAAGACAGAGGAGCGGCATTTCACCGACAACTGTAAACAGGCTTGTCTGTTTGAGCAACTGGCTTCAGTGCAGAGAGAGAGAGAGAGAGAGAGAGAGAGAGAGAGAGAGAGAGAGAGAGAGAGAGAGAGACTGATGTCAGCCATAAACAAAAGGGTTGCAACACTTCACATTTCTTTCCTATTTATATTTTTACTACAGCTTGTACGCTTTGAATGCCAAATCTATCCCGGAGATAAATCATGAGTCTCTCAGTGTATTGAAAGAAGAATATGAAGCCCATACTGAAACTATAAGTAATACACATGAGTCTTTACATATGTTGCTGTTTGTTTCTATATTCATATACTACCTGTTGCCGTAGAAACACCGAAGATCCTGCAGGCGCAGTCAATTACAGTCCACCAAACGCTCTCCAAGTTCCCCATGACCTCAAATACTTTGTCTCTTCACTGGTAGACAATGCAACCTTAACACGCCACATACACTATCTGAAGGAAATTGTAGCCTAGCATTTACTAAAGTAGCCTTCTAGACTGAAATGGATGGTTGTTGGTAAAAGAAAAAGAAGCCAAAGTTTGGTAATCCATGAGTGCCATGATGCGAAGCCTCTTACACTGGAAGAGTTTACCCCAGAAAGGTTTGTGACTCAATGCCCCTGTTGCTCACTTTTTCACACACACACACACACACACACACACACACACACACACACACACACACACACACACACACACACACACATTCAGAATTAGGAGTAATGCGCAGCTTTGAACTGCGAAGGTCGGGGACATTTCTTGTCCCACACCGACAATGTTCCTCATGTTTCTCTGTACGTACCTTGTTGTGAGAATTTGTAAATCAAATCATTTGACACACTTTTTTTTCAAAGTCATTCATGCAGCATCTATTTTTCAAAACGGTTTGTTTTACAACGGTGAGCGTTCGTGTAATAGACAGCAGTTTGTGCCAGGAACAAAAAGCTAAGTTATCCCAGTTTTAAATGATACACATGTTCCACTTAGTTTGCTGTTGATCCCAATGCAACACGTACTCTCTGCAAGTTCTGAATAGTCTAACAATGCAATGGATATGGAATAAAATGCTACAAGAACCAACAGAGACCCTTTGACACACTTTCACATGTGTAAATGTAAGCCCATAATCGGTTGATGCAGGTTTGGCTGGGATGTAAGCCTGTTCAGGCACAGCCGAGGCCTACAGGAACAAGCATTAAGAGTCACCAAGCTCACACACATACACACACTGACTCCTGGTAGGGACCAAAGTAAGCCAAATAAATCTCCTTAAATCTCTAACAAAGACACTTCTGTTTACTGGCTCCACTTGTTTCCTGCTTAGCATTCATGTTGTTTATGACATTTATGGTATGCGTTTCTGAATAGTGCCAAAACTGTGTTGTTAGATGTGTTATGGAAAGTGAAATACTTTCATTTTATATGTGATATATAGACTGAAATATATAACATCTAGGCTTATTGAATACATTTTATCATATTGACCACTCATTCGCGCTCACCTAACAAAATAATTGTAATGCCCCTTATTTTCTTGTGTTTGGCACAATTATCTTGCTAATATGCAAGTAAGGGGGTGAAATAATAAACATTGTAACTTCCCAACATAAGCATGTCAAATGTGTCACTGTGAGCATATAAGAAAAATAGGCCTTATAATAGCTCACAGCCTACCTGAGTTTCTAGCATGCATATAGAGTTGTTGTCTTGTTACAGTAATACGTTTTTTTTTGCAAGGATTAATAAATTGTATCAAGTGGCTTAATGCTTCATAGATATACTTGATGAATGCCTGATTTAAGTAGTAAGCTATGAGAATGTCTGGCTTTAAAAAATCCCTTTGGCTGGCATAGATTCTCCTCTAGCATCTTTCATTCATAGGAGGATTTCTGCAAAGGACATTTTTACAACTCTTACTTCATGAGCCACGGATGCATGCACACATACACAGTTACTGTAAAATACTATTAACACATTTGAATCAACAAAAACAACAGTTTGACCACCCACTTTATGTGATTCAATTGATAAAAGAGAGATGATTTCTCATAATTAAATCGTATGTTTATTAAGACTGCAGTTCATCTTCTCTCATGAGATATGAAATAGAAATGTGTACGGTGCATGTTAACTGAGCCATGCCGGCGTGGCCACAGTGGGCTTTGTGTTTATCTTTGTTTGACATGCTAGGCCCTCATGATGACATGAAAAACAGCTTGTGAAAACATAATTGATGGTAATAACTCACTGTGTATTGCAAGGGGGTCACTGCTGACATTTACACTACATTGTGAGTTTTATGCCAGTTGTCAGGATATGCCAGAGGGTTGAGGCGTTTACAGTAATTGTGACTGATTGCCATCTAGTGAGACTGTAAATATAATGTTACAGTATAAATACAGACTCATGTTTTCATTTGCTCTGTGCAGCTATACAGACATTACACTTCAACAAGACTGACCTAAGACCTCTCACACTCTTTCCAAACTTTCACTCGACTGCTCACATTTTCTCTCACCCTTTAATCATCCCTGCGTTACGCCTCCTCACCCGCCCACTAATCACAGTTTCACACCATTCTCCCCCTCACCCCTCTGTGCCCATGGGCATGGGACCACAGAGATCAGCCATGCCCCCCCCCAACTTCCTCCCTCTGAGTCCGGTGTGGGTGTCTGGTGCTTGTCTGAACCAGTGAAAACAGCTCTAATCTTAATTACACCAGCAGCTTTATTGCCCTGCTTTGTTGCTTTGCTCAGGCAATATCTCCATAATCACCTTTATATGGGTGTTTTTATTTAGGGAATGGCGGTGAAAGATCCCTGATAGACTAATTTCAGCAGAATACCAGAATATTTCCTAAAATATAAAGACATAAACCTAATCACACTGTGGATATTACATCTCCCTGCACAAGGTAGGCTCTGCCATGTTGGAACCTAATTACTGGATTTACAATTGCAGGGAGACACCTAGTGGTTGAGAGGTGTTGATACATTGCAATTTAACCCTTGTATGGTGTTCTGGTCTGTGGGACCCGTTTTCATTATTTAGCTAAAGAAAAATGATATGATAAATTATTTTTGGATGCAACATTGTTGGTCAACTCAAGCACCGAGACCTGTCTGCTCTCATATTCCTTCATTATGTCTTGCGGGAACCAATCTCTGTTTTTTTCACATTCTATCCCAGCTGCAAATTTGGGGCGGGACACAATAAATAAAGCTTCGCCAGTTTGGGTCCTATCACAACTGATCAAGATGGCCAAAAGATTCTCTGCTCAGAGGGCCTTTCAAATGATTTTGGAAGAGAGAGAACCATTTGATGATGATGTAGAGGAAGAGGAAGATGTTTCAGAATGTGAGGATCACATTTCTGAGAATTCGGAGTCTGACAGTGACTTTGAAGAAGAGGATGAGATTGAGTATCAGCTAGTTAGAAAAAAAAGACGAGCCACAGGGCCAGCCGGTCAGCGGGCAAAAAGACGAGTAGCACTTTAATTCATTAATCTAACAAATGTAAATTGGCAAATATTAACCGTATGCTGTTTATATTGCTTGTAATTGGGATGAAGTAAACATCTGTTGAGTATTTTAACTTAAAATAGTTTGATTGTGTTGAATTGAAACCCAAAAAGGCAGCGGGTCCACCAGACCCACGAACACTGGCTGAATAAAAAAAATATGAACACCACACAAGGGTTAAGAATGGAATGAGATACAGTTTGGGAAGAGAGTGTCTTGTTTCTAAGCTCTTTTCTCCCTCAGAAACCAATCATAACAATACCAAGTGTCAAGAGCATCCACTAGACAGATGAAGCACAGACAGGAGCAGGAAAGATATGTGATTGTGAAAAAAAGATAACGTTTTGGAAGACAGAGAGTGTGTCATGACTGCCTGTTAAATCTCTAGTAGTCAGCAGATTGTATCAAGCAGATTAACATTTTGAGGAGGTATTATTTCACAGAAGAATTGCAGCACTGTATGAAATGAACAGGTTTATGCGATGAGATCACATTTTTTGCCAAGCTTTTAAATCACTTTATTCATGTAGTAACACGTTGAACCAATGATTTGACAATTACAGTAAACATAATTCTCAGCTTATAAATTAATATGACAAATGTTTAGGCCATGTATTCCTTTATAACTATGAATTATACGTAAAACCCATCGCTACCCTTACGCAAATGAACTATAGTATTACTATAGTATACTATAAGAGTTGTAGAGTAAGTTTGTAGTGTTCTATATTTTTCACCAGCTATGGTATTACTATAGTTTTTTCTGTAGTGCCATTTTATTAGCTATAGTAGCCCTATAATATTTCAATAGTAATACTATGTATCTAGATCTTTATAGAATTCCTACATTATTTTAAATAGTATAACTATAATATAATATATAGTGTTTCATTAGTTGTTTTTTGAACACACTAAAACACTCCTATAGTAATAGTATGATATTGTCATAGTGAATGCATATTATTACTATAGTGTTTGTAAAAGTATGACCATAGTGTTTTTTAGTAAGGGTAACACCTGTCTGACACCTGTATCCCTCTTTTTTTGTTCATCATTTTTAATCTTAATTTTTTTTTACTGTTGTTTCCCATTTTAATGAGAACATAAATGCTTTCGGGGAGAAGCTGGTTGAAAATGTGTTTATTCCCACCGAGCCACTCAGAGCTGTTAGCACTTTTAATTTACAATGAGGTCTGGCAACACATCAAAATAACTATTTCTGATGGAGGTTAACCATGCCCTTAAACATCTAGCAGCAAACATTAGCATAATTTAGAGTCGTGTTTATCTACAATTTTCACTGTCATTTTAGGTATGTTTAAGGTTTTTGGCATCTCTTGAGAAAATAACACCTGTGTCTTTAGCTGGAAAATGCTCCACTGTAATCAACTTGTCAGAGGAGGTAATGTACATTAGGTTGCCAAAGCCTATTTCTGAATTAAAATGGTAAGAATGAACCAAGTTGTGGGTCAGTAAACAAAACATTAAACCACTCTGTAAAACAAGTGCTGTGATAATTATCTGCCAGTGACATCTCTGTGTAGTTAAAAAGCTACATGTAGCCAAATAGCTACATGTACAGTATGTGCAAGTGCAACACAGTCTCACGGCATTTCGTGTTATAGTCACGAAATTAATCCATTGATTCGTGTTCACCAACAAGATTTCCCCATTTTTTTCGTGTCACACAGAACGATTTTAAAAGCAAAGTAAATAATAACAAATTAGAAGGAAAAAGAGATTTAAAAAAATACAGATTTCAGTATTCTGACATAGAACGATTTTAGAAGCAATGTATTTGTATTGGTAGTACATTTCGTGCCTGCACCAGATAATAACAAATTAGAAGGCTTTGAGCCCCATTTCTTTTCCTCGCGGACGGCAAAAGAACTCCGACATTATACTGTTTTCCAAGACTCGACTGGACAAAAAGACGTGGTGCAGGCACGAAACATACTACCAATAGAAATACATTGCTTTTAAAATCGTTCTGTGTGACACGAAAACAATGCAAAAATCATGTTGGTGAACATGAATCAATAGATTAAA